ACTCTGAAGCGCTACTGGGAGGATAACAAAAACTCCCTGATTAGCTACCTCGAGCAGGTAAACACATAAAATGGGCAATGTAGGAGCATTAAATCTGGTGTGCAATAATCTTGTAAGAGGAGCCCAGTGCAGGGGAATCCATCCTGCCCAGAGTGAGGAAGCCATCGTTGGAAAACAGGTGTCAGAAGTGGTTCAGCTAGGCTTTTATTTGTCATAGGTTTTGTGGTTCATGACTATTCGCTGAGAACTCACTAAACTGGAGAGTTGTGGAAAAGTGAGGGAGAATCTCATTTTCATTCATATTATGCTGAGCAAGGGTAATCCTAGGACCCTCCCCCACCCTGATCACCTCGGGCCTGTCGGGCATCCCAGGCAGGGCCAGGACCGGAGTGAGGCACTTAGGGTGCAAAATTCAAGGAGGAATTCACTCTCGGGGTCACGTAAATACAGAATCAGCACCCAAAAGTATCTCTAAATTTTGTGTGCTGCATACTTCACTTTTTTCTCCCTAGACTCAGCTGAATCCCAGGTAATAATAATGATAGCTTACCTTTAGTGGTCATTTACTACTTCCCAGGCTTTGCTCTACGTGCTTACTTGTAATAATTAACACATTTAATCCTCACAACAACCCTATGAAGGACGTTGTTGCCGTCCTCCTCTTCCTCCTCATGCCATTATCATCTCTGAACTAAAGACGAAGAGTTAAACAGCTGCCTGAAGTTGCTCAGCCAGAATTTGAATCAGGTTGTCTAGTGCCAGAATCACCACGCTGTATTACCTCTCATGACACAGCCTGGGTCCTTACCAGTCACTTATGTAGTCATTCCCGTGACATCTGTATAGAATTTGGGGGGATTTCACCATCTGCCAGAATAACATACCTCAGCCACTCAGGCTGAACCTAGGCCAGTCCCCTGTGAACCCCGCCCCCTCCATTGTATGTAGACATTGGCACTAGTGGCAGTGGAAAGACCCTAAAGACCGTTCCCTGCCTGCAGTGCCAGAAATTCCATTCTGTATGTGGCCAGTTACACCTAATGTCAAGTTGAGTGATGTTAGTTTCACATGCCAGCAGCGAGTCTAGACTAATATGTTAAACTAACTTGACATAAACAAATGCTGTTAAGTAAACATTTAGCTATTTACATGTATACATGTGCGCATAAACATATACATGCAAACCTAATGCATTTTTTTATAAAAGTGAAATTAGCTTAGGAATTCTTTTACACATGTAAAATATCCATATAACACCTTATCAAAAAGGACTATCATGGAATAGATCCGCTGATGAAGGACTGTGATTAAAGAAAACCCATTTCTCAGGAGTTTTTAAATAATGGATTCCTGCTGCATATTAGCATAAAAAGGCATTTTTCAACAACAAACACTAAGGATAATTAGCCACATTGGCCCTCGAAGAACCTTGGTGGGAACCCTTGTAGAATGTGTCTTTTGAAGAGAGCTCTAATCAAGATGGACCTTCCAAGAGCAAAGTTGACTGAAAAATATATATTTTTTTGGATAGAGCAGGTAAAATGAGGCTCTTTGGTGTGTTCTCCACTAAGGAATCAATAAATGCCTCCTTAATACAATGTTTTTAATTTTATTTACAGATTTTTTTTCATCGAAAATTTATTGAGCTATTTTTGTGTCCCAGGTGTTCTGTGAGGCACTGGGAATAGTGACCATCCGTCCTCAGGAAAGCGTCATATTAGTGAGGTCAGAAACATGAACACCTAATCCCAGGAGAGGATGATACAGGCCAAAGTAAAGGTTAACTACGAGGAGCAAAGGCAGTGCACAGAAGGGTCCCTCACTCAGTCTTGGGGGTCCAGGAAAGGCTTCTTGGAGCTGTACTGTGAGATTTACCATTGTTGATGCCAATAAGTCATCACTCTGATCAACAATTAAAAAACAGGCTTGGCTGCTGTTAATGTCATCTCTCAGTTCTTGAGGAAAATACAAGACAAAATAAAACACAAATTTACACCATCTAGAAAAGAGGGGAATATTTGTCGTATTTATGGTGGCAAGTGGGCACACATCCAATTCCAACTATAAATTGATAGGGATTTCAATTTATATAGAAATAAGCTGAAAAGAAGACGGATGAAGGTATAAAGTCCTGTTTTATTCCACTTGGAATGAGAATTTGCTGTCCACAGACCCACGTGAGCCGCCCTGATAGGGCGTGGATCTTGTGGCACAAGCCGAGCAGAAGCAGTCCCAGCGGTATTTACAATGATCACAGAGCACTGCTGCTTAGGGAATCAAGGCTAATGAAAAGATCAGGGAAGACTGCCAGAGGTCGTACGTTGTAGTTGTTTCCTTGACAATGGTGTTAAGCCGAGCAGAAGCAGTCCCAGCGGTATTTACAATGATCACAGAGCACTGCTGCTTAGGGAGTCAAGGCTAATGAAAAGATCAGGGAAGACTGCCAGAGGTCGTACGTTGTAGTTGTTTCCTTGACAATGGTGTAGGTCAGCAACTGAACACCTGGGCCTAAAATCTAAGCATGTACTACTTTACAACTCATGGAAATGAGGTGATTAGGAGATCTAATTTTGTGATTGGTTGAGAAGGAAATGTCTGGCAGAGTAGGAACTAGAAGAGTAAAGCTAATTAGGGTAAATAGTTTGCTAAGAAGAACCTCATATTCAATAATTTTGAAACAATCTAGTTCTCCAAATTCTCAAAGAATTTCTCAAAGAATAGTTTATGGGCACCTTTTTCAGAATCATCTAGAATTCTTGTTAAAAATGAATTTCCTGTCCTGCCATGCCATCGAATTACACTCACTGCAGGGAAGGACCCACGAATCTCCATTTTCGGCAAGCTCTCAGGGGAACACTTATGTATACAAAGATTTAAGGGCAATTTATATAGACAGTTCCAGAAACAGTGGAGAATCTTCTGGATGCTTTTTCAGCTTTGGTTGAAATTTAAATGTTCTGGAATCTGGGGAAAGATTTTTGCAGGAGGGATGAGTATAGTAAAAAACAGCTTCTCCGGTCATGAGTCAAATTTGAACTTGTGTGATTTCCTTTACAAAAGCCATAAAGATGACAGCATTTACCAAACTGAATTCATGTGCAGTTGTGAAAACCCATAACATTTCTATCGAGATTTATTACTACAGTGGGATTTTTTCAGACAGAAAAGTTGTGACCCACAATTGGCATATCAAAGATAGACATTTACCTACTTAACTATTTGTTAAACTGCATACTGTATATAAGATTTGGGCTGCAGGGGCAGAAAAAAGTAAAGTCATGAATATTAACTGAGGATACTTGTTTGTGCCTAATATGGTACAAACACGATATGTTTTTGCAGTAATTGATTGACTTATTTTTCATTGATGAGGGAATTTAAAACTTTCATTTCTCTGAGGTTTATAACATTGATATCAGGATTATAATGCCTCAAGATGAATGCAGTACTTGTGAGTAAATAATTCCTCTTTTAACAGCTAGAAGTTTTCTAAATTTTGTTGAAGAGTCCCCATGTTAAGAAATTTAACAATTGTATTTTTTTCACTGATTTTCTGCTTTATGCCATCTCTAAGTGTATCCCTCTTCCTGTCCTTCAGTTTTTCTGATTGGAAACAACTCTATCATTTTTCATTCAGAAAGCTAACTTTTCATGTTTCATATTTTCCAGAGGCTAAATTTCAACTCTTTCAACTTTGGTTGGCTAATTCATAAGTCAGTCTTGGAGAAAAGTTAGAAATTCAGTAGGTCCTAAATTTCTTTTTTTCAAATGTATTTATTCTTTATACTAGTTACCATGGTTGGCAATAAAGTTATCATTCTTTATTACTGACAACATGTATAGTCTTTTATCATTTGCAAATTGCCTTTGGGGTAAAAGTTTCCATGTTATTTTTATAGAGTTTGAGAGATTTTCTTTTTTTTTTTAATGGCAAATGCAAGAAAATTGCTGATGACCAGGAGCATCTCTTTGATGAAACATTGTACCACTGCCAAGTTTATTCTTTGATGACAAAGGAACACAG